GCTCACTGATGGAGGGGACGGACAGTCTCGGGAAAAATCGGATTGGCGATGCTGGTGCGCAGGCGATTGCAGAGGCAGTCAAAGTGAACAATAACCTGCGCTTCCTCATGTAAGGCATCGCACTTGACAGATGCTTGTGAGTGGATGATTCAGCGGAGGGCACACAGAGTGAGCACTGATTGTGTGGACTAGTTTGATGAGAATGAGATTGGCGATGCGGGAGCGCAGGCGATTGCTGAGGCACTCAAGGTGAACTCGACGCTGTATAGCCTCTAGTAAGACAGCTATCCCTCATAGTTCCACTTGGCGCAGAGAACTAACTGAAGGATGGAACGCACAGTTTGGAAGACAATCAGATTGGCGATGCTGGAGCCCAGGCGATTAACAAAGTGTTCAAGATGAACCCGAAGCTGGTGGAAGTTCCGTACGGTGTCATGCGCTTTGACTTTGAGCCAGGGTGAGCATACATCCTGCTCACTCACTCGCATTGCTCAACAGTCTAGCGCGAAATTGCATTAGCAATACTTGTTCTCAAGCAATCAAGCAATGCAACGGCCAAAATGGTCCTGCGTAAGTTCAGTTGTCCTTGCGAAACGAAGCCATTGAAGCTCACACGAGCTGCTTCCAACCGATGGAGTTTGCCTTCCGATTGCTCATTTATGTTGCGCAGCATTTACGACCAGGTCAATCCTCTTGCATTCTCCTTACTTCCACGTTTTGCTACCGCTGACGACCTTCAGACCGTGTTTTGCTTGCTGACCGGCGAACCGGCGCTAGAGGATCAGTCCTCACTTCTACCAGCATTACCAGCCGAGATTGCCGACATCATTATGGACAAAGCGCAATACTGGCAAGGCGTGCAGCATACCAAACGAAACCCGTATGATGACCGTCCTGTCAAGGTCACAGTGCCTCAAAGCATCCATGGAAATTCGACCCGTGTGAAAGCAATTCAAGTGGTTCGGGACACGAAGAAACTTTACTACCGCATCGGTGACAACGTCTTTGACTTGATTGTTCGAGATGAGCGAGGTGCTGTTCAATATGAATATGCGGCGAAAGCGACTTTTGTCGATTCTACACTCGTATCCGCGACGCTCTGGCCAGCGAGTACTCCTATTATCAGGCAAATCCGTGTGGGTTGGCAAGTTCAGGTTCAACCCAGCAAGTCTGCCCGAGATGTGCTGTTTGAATCGCTCGTTGTTAGATGTATGTAGAGTACCTGTGTCATACTGTCAGGACCCGCAGGGTCTGTGTTAGGATCCTGGACTGTGTAAGACCTTGGTAGGCAATATTGTTGTAAAGTGTTTTATTTCACTTTGCAGACTGAACTGCAATTCCAAATGCATGCAAACAAACAATACAAAGACATCAACGCCGAGTCTTCTCAGCAAAGAACGACCCAGCCGGGACCGCAGAGCCTGCGGGTCCTGACACTCTACCCCCTCCTGGTCCTCCCCTCGGAGAAGAGTGTGAAGGGCCCACCGGTGTGGACCCAGGACGCGACGCCGGCAACGCCGATGCCGACTTGGCAAGTGGACTGGCTGCGGGACTGCAGCAGCTGTAGGCGGGGTTGCTACGGAACGTGCAGCAACTGCAGATGGGGTTGCCACTGAACGCGTAGCAACGGGTGTCGCACTAGCGTGAGGTGGAGCTTGGCCAGCTGGAGCAGCGGGCGTGCGACTAGCCGTGGGTTGAACATGATTCGCCTGGACCGACGGCGATCCATTCGTGAAACTCCTCTCGCGTAGGCTGTGGCAGAGAAGGTTCGGCCAGATGGAATAAACGAACGGCCCTGGGGAAGCGAGCCCACACGTCTTTGGCTGGTTCCCAGGTGTCTTCACGAGCAGTGGTGCCTACCCTTCGGATGCGATAGTACATAATCTCGCTGTGACGAGTCGAATCAATCACCGCCTCGACTCGATGTCGAACTGTTCCGTCCCAGTCCTTGACAGGAGGCAGGACTCGCCGAATCCGACCTTCAACGTCATCAGCGACAAACAATTCCAAGACAGATACATGGAAGGTGCGGGACTTGCTGGATGCTTCACCTAGATCCAGCTCAAAGGCACGCTCATTGATCTGCTTCACGACCTTGAAGGGACCATCGCGTACGTACGCCAACTTGGCATACGGTTGTTCGGCAGTCTGACTGCGACGCAGAACTGTGACTAAACTGCCCACCGTGATCGGAGGTGCTGCCTTGTGGTGCCGATCATAGAACTTGGCTGCGGACATGTTTGCTCGGTGAATATTCGCTCTCAACGAGAAACGCAGTGCCTTGAGTTCCTCCACGCGATCAGCTGCCGTTTGAGGTGCCTTCGGCGACTTGAAGTTAATCTCATCCATTTCCGGCTGAAACCCGTACATGGCCATGAACGGAATGCACTGGATCGCCGCGTGCACCGTGTTGTTGTACGTGAACTCGCACAACCAAAGGAGTCTTGCCCAGTCCTCGGCTTCACTGACGTACGCTCGCAGGTATGACTCCAGCGCTTGATTCACCCGTTCCACAAGACCGTTTCCTTGTGGATGATACGCGCTAGAGTAGGAGAGGTCGATGTCCATGCCTTCCATAGCTTCTTCCAGAACTTTGCAATGAACTGTGGTCCGTGATCAGACAAGACACGAACCGGAACGCCGTGCAGCTTCACGACATTCTCCAGGAACAACTGAGCCGATTCCTCCGCCGTGACAGACTTTGTCGTCGGAATGAAATGTGCAACTCGAGTCAGTCGATCGATGCAGACCATGACTGCGTTAAACCCTTGAGAATCTGGCAATCCGGTCACAAAGTCGATGGACCAGTCGCCGAAAGGCTTGTCTGCGGCCTCATTAGGAGTCAAGAGACCGTATGGTACGTGCCTCGCATGCTTCACCATCTGGCAAACTGGGCAAGTGTGGACGTACTGCTCCACGTACTTTCTCATTCCAGGCCAGACAAAGTCGCGCTGAACCAACTCAAGTGTCTTTCGGTTCCCGCAGTGACCTGCTGTCGCTGCGTCATG